TTTGGGGGGGCGGGGGGGGGGGGGGTGTCTCGGCGCCTGTTTTTTGTCACTGCTGGTTGCGGGAGCAAGATGAAACCAACGGATCTGTAGTGATAATACTTGTGAATATGCCCAAGGTGCCTGGAGCTGCAAAAACGCAGTTGCTCTGTGGTCCTGAAGGGAAATAAATACACTCAGCGTGACTCGCCTGTTCAGACAGGTTTGACCCGCAGGGTTCAGCCTGGCTGAGTCCAACCTGCCTCAACGTCCAGTGGGGTTCAGCTTGAGGCTTCGAGTGCAGCTGTTAGCCTGTTCTCAGCGGGCTAAGGGCCAGATCCTGTGCTCTTCTCCTTGGGCCCGATCCTGTTCCGATTGCAAACAATGGGAATTTTTTCTGACTACAGAACAAACAGTTCTACACCTGCTCCCCTTGAAACCAATGTGCAAACTGCCATTTGGCCTTCAGTGGAACCAGCGCTGATTAACGGAGGGTTTCATTGTGGCTTGTTAGCAAAATCCACAGCATGGGCCAACCACAACTCCTGGTGGAGAGGCTGGATTTTGTGTCACAGAAACTTTTTTTTGTTGCCAAAATTATTTTGCTCAAAATTGGGCCGTTTGTGGAGAAATCTGGACATGGCAAGCGTATCCGTGGCAACTGTTGTGGGCTTTGGTAAAGATCGTCACGTTTTTACGTTTGAAAGCAACCTGTTTTGCTGAAAACGGTGGCTCGGAAGCCACACGTTGGGGGTTGGGGAGGAGGGAGTTCTGGTTTTTGTTGGAAACCCAACAAAGCTTTAATTGGTTAAAAAAACCCATTGTAACGAAAAAAAATTCAAAATGGACCATGAAAAATCCTTGTTCTTTGTCTCAGCCCTGAGTGAGAGGCATCTCATCCCCTTTGGCCTGCATATCGCATACTCATAACACAGGGATCTTTTGGGTGAATGTCTGTGTAACATAAAAAAAGTGGACATGGTTATTCCTGAGCAAAGAAAACTGGGGGGAGGCCTGATAACCGTCTTCACGTACGCTAAGGGCTGTTCCACAGAGGACAGTGATCTGTTCTCCATGTCTGCTGAAGGCTGGGTGAGACGTGATGGGCTTCACGTGCAGCAAGGGAGGTTTGGCTCGGATAGTAGAAAAACCCCACCAGCAGGCGAGTGACGCTCTGGAATTGGCTTCCAGGAGAGGTGGTGGATCGCCTGCCCTGGGGGGCTTGAAGAGCAAATTAGACAAAGACCCCCCCAGGGATGGTCTAGCTGTGCGTGATCCTGCCTCAGGAGGCGAGCAGGATTTCCCCAGGACGGGAAGGCCCTTCAAGCCCGACATCGCTAAGATCTTTAGCTGTGGTTTTAGGTTTGTTCTCAGCACCCTGACCACTTCTGGCAGGGCAGCTGCCGAAGCGCTACCCACGAAAGGGGCCAGCTAGGTGGAGTCCTATTAGCTGCTGGAGCGGGTGCCGCCTCCCCACTCCCTGCTGAGTAGCCGGGGCACGAGAACAAGGCTGGAATTTTGCGCGGGCTGCATCCCACAGCTGTCTCCCGGTGCAGCATGGCTCGCTGGCTGCATTTCCAAACTGCTTCCTGAAGACGGACGCTTGGTCCGAACTCTTCATTCAGGCACGTTGCTTGAAAACAAAAAGGAGCCCCCGGGCCCCGGTTATTGTGGGTCGAGCTGCTAACACATGATCTCTGTTTGTTTCTCTTTTCCTAGGCTGGCGGCCCACGCCACGCATGTGAAAAGGATCTTGCTCTTTCTCCTGACCCTGTCAAACGGCGGGGGTGGAAAATGAGCCCCCTGGAGAAGATCAGGTGGCCAGGTCCCAGGAGAAATCACTCCAGCCGCAATGACTATAAGAGAAGGCTGAGTGGCGTGGTGTCAGATGGAGCCCTCTGGCCCTAGCATGGGCGGCATGGAATAAAAATGATCCCCGTAGTGAAAAACACTGCCCAGTTCTCCCGGCCAGCACCACCCCCTACGCCCGACGGACTTTTGCACGGGGAGGGACACTTCCAGGACTCTGAATGCAAAGAAGCTGCTTCAGAAAAGAACAACCACACACCCGGCCAGTCCCAAGGGGACCCCCTCAAGGACACGTCGGACTCCTCCGTTTCTTCCTATCATACGGCTCCGGGCTCAGAGGGGGCGGAGAGTTTTAAGGACTGTGTGGAGTCCCTGGACAGCAAAGGGGGCGATCTGCTGCCCCCGCCGCCAGACGGCGACCCCCAGGGCGAACGCGGCGCCAAAGCAGCAGCGCCGGGGAGCTTTTCTGAGCGGAACCCGGCTGGCAGGGAAGGTTTCCGGGGGGACCCTTGTGAGGACGCGGCGGGGCAACTCCACGGGGCACCACGGGATCGCGTCAAAGCCGCAGGGGTGCTGCCGGATCAAACCTGCAAAGGGGCTGGCCCGGCTTGTGCTGCTGCCTCCACAGCCGTCGCTCATTCAGCTTTAACTAGACCCCGAGCGGAGAGGACATTCGGCCTCCGGGCAGGCAGGGAGTGTGTCCCCAGCACGCCAGGCTGCAGAGACGGGGGATCCCTCCGTGCCAAGGAGAAGCAGCCGGCTCAGCTGTCGATCACAGCTAAGAATAGCTCGGCTCCGGGGCCCAGCGGCAGGACGGGGCTAGCCACAAGAGAGCTGCCGCTTGGAAACAGGGGCTCTAAATATTTGGGCCTGCCTATACGCGTCGATGCACCGGACTCCAGGGCGATGTTCCTCCAGGCGGGTCCGACGAAGGGCAGCAGCGCTCCGGGGGCAAGCAAGGCCACCTGCCCCCCAGGTGGTGCGGACAGCGACTCCGAAGAGGCAGATTCCGAAGTGCAGAAGCTCACCGCCCTGTCGTTCCGGAGCCTCTCGTGCCCCTACGGAGGTTCCCTGGCTGGGTGCAGTTCCAGCAACCGGACGTCGTCGAGCTGGTCCAGCTCCTTGTCAGACGACAGTAATGGAATGAACAGGTGGCCGCCGCGTCATGAGCTGAGAAGAGCCGAGGTGCGCAGCCGGGCAAAGGGCAGCAAACAATTCCCGCTTGCCAGCCAAGTCCCCGAAAAAGATCGGCCCAGTGACTCATTCGGGACGGCGCCGTTGGAGTGCGTTGCTGTGGCGCCGGAGAGTGCCGATGGCAGAAGGGGCCCCTCCCAAAAGCGGACCGTGCCCAAGCGGCAGATTCAGCTGAAGCCGAGGGACAGAGAGGAGATGAGCTTCCTGGCAGCAGGGGACCGTGCTGCCCACCAGCCCTTTGCAGCACCCAGGAAAGAGCCCTGCCCAAAGCGCAGGACCATCCGGGACGAGTTCAGGCTCAGTTACAAACAGTTTATGAGAACGGCGTCATCAGACGACTCGACCGGCCAAACCAGGATGGCCTCCTGCCTGGTGAAAAATGTGCTGGCCAAGAAAATGCAGTATGAGCAACGGCTCCGAACGGAGCAGAAATCGAGAGAGGGCGGCTCCACCTCGTCGGGACCCTCCTCCGTAAGTACGGACCTCGTGGGGGATTTCCCAGCAGGGAAGTCGAGTTCCTTCTCCAGGACCGACTGCAGCCGTTTGGCTGAAGATCTGCTCGGTCATTCAACGAGTGAAAGGCCTGAGTCCGTCGCGATGGGCCCCGAGAGCCCCGATGCCCTGCAGCTGGCCAAGGGGGTCGTGCTGAGCGAGCAGCAACGGGAACCCGTCTGCAAGCTGAAGAAGACGTTCAACGAGCTGAACGAGAGACTGAGAGAAGCCGACCAGTCCAAGCCCCTCCCCATCTTGGCAGATGGCGTGAGCAGGGATTCGAGCAGAGGCAGGAAGCAGGCGGCCAGCGAGCGGAAGGAATTCCGGAGAGCCCGGGCCCTGTTTGAATCCATGCAGGCCAGCACGGGGGCGGCCCCGACGCTTTCCAAAGCACAAAAGCCCTGGCCCAGTTTGAAGCAGCGCGCCATCTGCAAGAGCGAGCACCCGTCGGGGAACGAGGGGAAGGCCCCCGTCCGGCCCAGAAGCCCCCTGGTGCCCGGGGATCCAGCCAGCAGCCTCTTCACGTCCACCACGCCGGAGGTGAAACTGATCCCCCAGAGCGCAGGCGAGCAGCAGCAGAAGACGCTTCATGTCTCCAAGCCCCGGCCCTCGGAGGAAAGCTCCGAGGAGAGGCCGGCAGCGGTGCAGCGCCCCCGGCATTCGTCTCTCATTCTGCCCACGTCTTGCAGATCTCATCACGACGGGGAAAGCAGCCCCCACGCTCAGGAGTCCGGGGAGACAGGGAGCAAAGGGGCGGGACGGATACACCACCCCAGGGACGTCAGAAAGTTAGTTAAAAACACCTACAGCTTGTGCTTCCAGTCTTCAGACAGCTTCCCTGCAGACCAAGAACCCAGCCCCGAGGACGCTGTAAGCTTATCGGCAAAGGAGTGCCCTGCGACCTCCCCTCTCTTCATACACTGCAGCTCCGTGCGGCGCAAAGTCGCCGCCCCAGCGGAGACCCCTTCCCAGGACAAAAGCCCGGAGCAGCCGTTGAACGTGGATGTGTCGGCCCTTGCCACGCCAGCTCAGAGCGCGAGCGGCCCACTCCCCCCTAAGTCCCACGTGGATGGACCCGTCAGGCTGACCGACCGCACAGGCGCCCCGGGGGGCGGCTCTCCTGTGCACATTGCTCAGATTCAGTCCAGGAAGAAGGTGGTGACGGGGAAGGAAGACCCCCGGCTACCGCCTGACAAGAAACCAGCGCATTACGAGAGGAGCGAGTTCAATGTAGCACCCGCGCCCAACGCCACACGGAAAGCCCCCCCGATGGAATCCCAGCTTAATATCAAGGTCAACAGTCGTCTTTCCAAGCACCCACACAAGCCACACGCTGACCCCTTCTCTGCTCCAGCGTGGCCAGCTTCAGGGAAGGCCACGAAAGACTCCTCCACCCAAGCGAACTGCCGCTCCCTAGAACAAAGCGAAACTTTTCCCTTTCCAGTTTCAGCATCCTTTGGAGGCACCAAGGGCCCCTCCGACGTCACCCGCAATGCTGCCAGGCCAGGTCATTTTCAGGAGGCTCATGCCCACGAGGAACCCGAGTGGCCGTCTCAGAAGCATTTATCCACTGAGACGATCTCATTCACGCCCCACGACAGCCAGGCCTTCTCTGTTAGCCCACAAGACGAAAACCAGGTCTCAGAACCTGGCCCAGCCAAGGAAGGCTACAGACATCGCCAGGCCATGAAGCCACCTGGGACAAGCACCCAGCCCTCCTATACAAACACGCCAGCAAACAGCCAGTTTGTGCCCAGCTCCTATCAGCAGAAGGCCCAGGATAAGGTGACTGATGCCCCCGGGCCCGTGGAGAGCCGAGGCTTGGTGCCAGCCACCCGCATGTCTCCAGAGAGAGCCAGTCCCTGTGCCCCCTTGAGAGCAAGGGAACACAGCAAAGGAACCGGACCGCCCGGAGTGCCCGCCGCTGCACCATTCCCCCCCGCTGGGAAGAGAGAGAACTGGGATGGCTTGCCCAGGCCACAGGCGGGGACCGAGCAGTATTTCACAGCCACCCACGCGGAGAACGCCAACTATTTAACGATGCCCGCAAAAGCCCCGAAAGCCGACGCAGCTCCCACGCCCGTGGGGCCTTCCCAGGCAGACCACGCCCTGCCCCCTTCCGGCACCGTCCTCCAGCCAGGCGCGGGAACGCCCCCGAGTACGACGAGCTGCGAGTCTCCGCCGCCGAGAGCGCCAGAGGGCAAGGCAGCCGCCGGCCTCCCCGGGCCCGACCAGCCAAGCCGCGTGCAGCCCCACCGCAGAGCCGACAAGTCGCCCCGTTTCCTGTGGAGGAGCGGCGGCGTTTCGCCAGGCAGCCAGGGCGCACCCAGCCCCACCAGGGCGTCCGTCCCGCAGCCCCACAGGAAAATGCTCGTGGATCCGGAGAGCGGGAAGTGCTACTACATGGAACCTCCCCGGCAGCCGCAGCTGAAACTGCTCTATGACCCGGACACAGGCCAGTACATTGAAGTGTTGCTCCCTCCAGTCCCCTTGGCATCACACGGTCGGCTTTACCCCTCTCCTTGCAACCCGTTGGTCATGAATCCGGGGGTTTATGGAGCACCCTACATGCCATATCCAGGATTCCCAGGGTTTCCACCTCCGCCGGTGGCGCTGCCATCCCTCCATCCTGATCTGCCCAACCAACAGGCGGCTCTCGAAAACGTGTGTGTCACCGACACCTTCAGCCCTGGCCCGAAAGGTGACGCTCCACCAGCTCCCCAGGCCTCCGACTGCAACTACATGGAGAGTGTGTACTATATTCCCACCGGGATGAATCCAAGTCCTAGCCCTAGTCGGCTTTTATTCTCCCCGGCCACCAGTTCCAGCCCCTCCATGCCGGAGAAAGGGCCCTTGTTCCAGATGTGAGACTGGAGCCAAGGAACGTGCTGGGCGCAGGGGAGCAGGCGGTGGGTTTCCTGAGCGAATGGACATTGCGTATTTATGTCCTACTTGAAAACAAGGGGTGGCGGAGTAGGACAGACAACCCCTGCTTGGCCCCCCTGGTTCCGCGTTGCTTCCCTTTCCCGGAAGTTTGGGCTTCCGAAGCAAAGGAAGGTGATGGTGGCTCAAGAAGACAGCCCGGTGCACCTGCCCCTCTGGTCCCCTCGCTGGTTTCTAATGAGGAATGCAATTGACAGACTCATTCGATGCAACCAGCCCTGACCATCCTGATGCTCCTGAAGTCGATGGGAGTTTCCCTGTTGATTTCCAAGGACCAGGAATTGCTGATCTGTTCCTTGATGCACAGAACTATTCTCACTGGGCCTGATCCTGGGAGGTGCTGTTCACCAGCCACCAGAGCGCTGTGTGTTCAGCACTGAGTGGCTCAGGATCAGGCCCTGTGCCAGGTAACGGCCGCTTGGTTTTGGTTTTTGCTTGCTGTGGGCAAGTCGGGCCCTGCCCAGGAGAAACCCCACACGCGCTCGGAAAGCCAAAACACGCCCACTAGTCAGCAGTACAAAAATAGCCCGCACAGCCTCGTGCTGATTCGGAAAGGTCGCTGGCCCAGCAATCCTGGCATGTGCCCCACCGCCCGCCTCGGTTTGTTAGGCCAAGCGAAAAGTCTCTGCAAAGCGGGGCGGGGGCGACGCTGCATTTTGGGCTGTGGTCACTGGCCGGGAAGTTGGCTGTGGCATTATTTCAGGGCGGTTTTCTACCCTGCAGGAGGGCACCCGGCTGGTCGCGGTGGGGACGCTGTGAGAGCTGAGGGAACTGATCCAAGTGTTTCCAATATTAGCAAAAGGGCTCAATCGCCATTTTGCAAAAGAGGCTGTCAGCCCCCGGGGGAACGTTTGCTGTTTGCAGCTGCTGGGGGGGAGGCTGGCTGTGTGCTGGGCAGGCCCTGCGGAGGGAAAACCCACCCATGCGTCCTGCTTACGCTCGGGCAGGGACCTAGCCACTGCAGAGAGTGGCTCCGTGGGCGAGGCTTTGAGTGCAGCGTAGCTCTGCCGTTGTATTTTTCACCGAATCGTGGTTCCTTGGCCCACACGCTCCCAGGATGGGTCTACGCCACGGGAACGAGGTCGGTCGCAGCTCGGGTAGACAGCTTCCCCTACCGAGTCCCCAGACACCGGCTCAGATCCCCAGAAGGCGCAAAATCAGCCTGGTGCCACTGAAACCTTATGGGGCGATGCCTGTTTACCCCAAAGGGTTGTATTTTTCACCGAATCGTGGTTCCTTGGCCCACACGCTCCCAGGATGGGTCTACGCCACGGGAACGAGGTCGGTCGCAGCTCGGGTAGACAGCTTCCCCTACCGAGTCCCCAGACACCGGCTCAGATCCCCAGAAGGCGCAAAATCAGCCTGGTGCCACTGAAACCTTATGGGGCGATGCCTGTTTACCCCAAAGGGTCTGGCCCAAAGAACTGAGTGAGAAATGACTAAGGAGGCTGGTGCTTTTGTCCTGTGCTGGAGAGGAAAACGCAAAACTGCGCCCCCGGCACCTCTGTGAGCAGCAGCGAGGTTTCATTTCCTTCCGTGCATGGTGGCAGCTCTGAGGAACCGCCGTGACAGCCCAGGCTCCCGTTGCGCCAGGCGCTGTACAAACACCCAACAGAGTCCCTGCCCCAAGGAGCTGCCAGTCTAGCGATGAGACAAAAGAGAACAGGGGAGACAGGCCAGTGAAACAACAGGGTGACATGGCTCCGCATGGCATGCAGTGGCCGCCGAGTGATTTATTTTGGAAGTTGTATCCTAGTGCTCAGCAGACACTCGGGGCTGGAAAGCAGGGTCCCAGTCCAAGTCCACGGGAGCGGGTGTAGCCAACAGGGGAGCAACAGGAAGCGTGAGACAGGAAGGAATCAGTTGTGGGACTTCTGCCGGGGTAAGCGACGAGAGGCGCTGCTGGTAGCCTGTGTCTGACCCTGACTCCACGGCCGGGGGGTCCTGCCTCCCCCCACGTCCAAAGCGCAGGCAGGCCGCTGGTGCCGGCAGCACGTCACACGCGCCAGCTCGGCCCAGTCCTGCAGCCTTCACCTGCCGGAGCAGCCTTTGCTCCCCTAGGCGGCTCACTGGCGTCAGGGGCCATGCTCGGGCGAAACACGTCTGAGCATCCCTCTCACGATAGGGCCCCAGGGCGGTGGTCCCAGTATCTTGCTGCTGCTGAGCCGACGGCCCCCAGGTCACAGGTCCTTCAGGCACCTAGCGCGGCGCTGGGGAGAGGCTGGAAGCAAGACGGGAGCAGCCAAGGGGACGCCCCAGAGGAGAGGAGATGGGAGCAGCCTGCAGGACCCAGAGGACCAGGGGGAAAGGGTCTGGGGTGCAGAGAATGAGGCTGGAGCCCTTGTGGCTGGTTCGGGGCAGAAGCGAGGCGGGGGAGGGGGAACGAGGGCAATGGAGTTAAGAGGGGAGATTTGCCTCTCTGAGGCGGGAGAGCGAGCTGGGCCCCGCAGGGTTTAATGGGCATCGCTCTCACACCGCACCATGGCTCTGCTTTCCCGGAGCAGCCGGGGCGTCCCGGCCGGGCAGCAGCCTCAGATGATGAACTTGGTGGCTGGTCAGGTGAATGGGGGGTTGGCGCAGGTTGAAAAGTGACTGAGACGCGGGAAAGGGGCCTTTAAGTGGGCGTTTAAAGGCAATTTGCAAATCAAGCCCGGCTGGAGCTAAGCAGCCATTTGGATCCCTAGCGGCCCCGCCCGGAGGGAACGCAGCCTCGGCATGTGAGTTGGGCGACAGCATCCTGAGGTCAGGCCTCTCTCCGCCACCGATTCAGCAGGTGAGCTTGGGCAAATCACGCCAACAAGGCGTGCCTCAGTTTCCCTATTAGAGGCTACCGGTAGTGACGCAGCTTTGTAATGTGCTTTGCGATGTGATTATTATTTCTCATGCGGCTGTGGGAGGCAGTCAGCAGAGAAACGGTGCCCAGCGCCGCAGGACCCCGCCTGCTAGGCGCTACTGCCGGACACATTCGCTAGCCCTCTACAAAATCTTTCTAGCCCTCTGGGAAATCCTCTCAGCACTTCCTGCTTCTCTGAAAGCCTCATCCCGAATACCACGATGTTGCCATGGCTGCAATGCGACCTCCGGGGTTGTGAAGTCACAACTTGGACTCTCATCCACACCAGTGAGTGTTTGTGCCCAGGCAGACAAAAGCATCCTACAAAGGTCGGGTAGTTCGCTGCAGCATCCCCCTCGTGGCCTGGCGAGAAGAGGGAATATGAGTATCCCTCATTCTAGCCTCGAAAAAAACACCAAGGACTTCCGTGGCACCTTAGAGACTTAGGGCATGAGCTCTGGGTTTTATCCACCAATGCTCATGCCAGAGGTGGAAACACTTTTTTTGAGTGGGGAGCCGGATCCAGGCAAGCTGGGGGCCACATGCGGCCTTAGGTCCCCACCCCTGGCTTATGCCCAAATAAATGTGAGTCTTTAAGGGGCCACTGGGCTCCTGGGTGTTTATGCAGATCCAGACCCACACGGCGCGGGGAGGGAAAGGAGGCTTCCGAGCCCACGAGACCTCTGCAGGTATCAGGGACTGGGGACAGCGCCTTGCAGAGCAGTGCGCTTTAACAACCCTCCCCAGCCGGCTCAGCCGCCCGCTTTTCCATCCCGCTGATGTTCAGCATGGGGAGCATCCAGCAGGGAACAGCTGCATCCTCCTTCTAAATTGCACCCCTCCCAGGATGCCTGACATGCTGGCCCCTCTTCAGGGCAAAGGTCAACGTGCGGAGCAAGCTGTACCCCCACCTGCCATGCCCGGGCAAGCCATAGGGCCAAGCGACCCCTCAATCCAGTAAAGGATGCACCTTTCCTGGCATGACAGCATACGTGCAGTGCTGGAGCTGGGGAGACGTGGCCTTCCTGACCCCATCGGCGACCAGCCGCTCTGGAGCATGAGATTTCATGACTTCAGATGCTTTCAAACATTTTCTTTTTTTTCTCGTGAACCAGGGAAATGAAAAACCAATAATTATGTTCAATGCAGCGGGAAAAACTGGGGCTCTGAAATAGGGATGTGAAATATCGGTTACGTGAGTAGTTAAAGCGGCGAGGAGTCCTGTGGCACCTTATAGACTAACTGAAGTGTAGGAGCATAAGCGTTCGTGGGCAAAGACCCACTTCGTCAGATGCACGTCTGTGGGTCTTTAAGTGGGTCTTTGCCCATGAACGCTTATGCTCCAACACTTCAGTTAGTCTATTTCAGTGGTCCCCAACCTTTCGAGGTTGTCGGGCGCCAGGGGGCGTGGCCGTTCACCCACCGGGTGCCAGGGGGCGGGGACACTTGCGCCCCGGGGCCGGCCCCCCCCATAGCCACATGCCCGGGGGCGGCCCCCCCCCATAGCTGCATGCCCGGGGGCGGCCCCCCCCCCTAGCCACGCGCCTGGGGCCGGCGCCCCCCATAGCCATACGCCCGGGGCCAGTACCCCCTCCA